AAGGCCCCATCTGTGTGTCCTGGCTCAGAGTGGACACTCCTGGTGAGAAGCTCAGGCCACACTGGGGACTGGGGCAGAGATTGACCTCTGCCAGGCAATGCCCACCAACTTGTGGCTGATACCTGCCCCACCAAAGCAGGGTTGGGGAACAGGAAGGACAGGGAGGTGTGCTGTTTCAGGAAGCTCTTTCTTTCCAGAGCCCACCGGACACTGGGGTCCCCTCTCCTTCCCACTTTGTTGGTCCGTTCCACCGGTCCACTTGTATCAGATAGGCAGAGACCTCAGGACTGTTTGTACGTGGTACGCCATGGCGTATCCCACCCTCCACGGTTACTGCTTACACAGTTCTCAGTCAGTCCCCAAAGCGGCTGTTCCCCAGACCACAGCATAGCCCCTAGCAGGATGGAGATGTTGATAATGCTCCCATCACACACAGAATAAAATCCTAAGTCCTCACCATGGCTCTCAAGGCCTTACTTGATCGGACCCCAAAGAACTCTGGATTCATTGCCTTCTCTCTCCCCCTTGCTACGTGAGCTCCAAGATCCCAGGTTGAAATCTCCATTCAGCCACTTAATAGCTGTGTTACTTTGGACAAGTCCTCTCTGAGCTACCATCTCCTGTGCAAAGTAGGGATAATAAAAGTACTTGCTTCGGGGCACCTGGGTGGCTCAGGTGGTTGAGCGTCTGTCTTTGTCATGATCTTGGGGTCCTGGGATCAAGCCCCGTGTTGGGCTCCCTGCTCAGTGGGGAGCCTGCTTCTCCCTCTCCCTGCTGCTCCCCCTGCTTGTGTGCTCTCTCGCTCTCTGTCAAGTAAATAAATAAAATCTTTAAAAAAAAAAAAAAAAGTGCTTGCATCAATGTTGTGAGGTTAAGCAAGAGAATCCAATGGAAAGCTCTAAGAATGAGCCTGGCACATAGTGAGCACTTGGCTACTGTTTCTGCTTGTCCCGCTCCTTCTCTGCCTCTCAGTGCCACCACCCCTACTGTGTACATCTTAGGGCCTTTGGAGGGAGAGCTGTGGAGCCCCAGGCCTTCCATCTCCAGATGAGACTGCAGAGGCCACAGGGGAGGAGGAACTCGCTTCAGGGTCACACAGCTGGCCTGTGGCCCAGGCAGGATTTGAACCCAGGACTCCTGCTGAGGCCCCCTGCTCCTTCTGCTTGTCCTCCCTTCTCAGCCCAGCACAGAGCGGCAGCAAGCAGGACCTACACTTATGTGCTTGGACCCCATCAGGCTCGACGGCGTTCTTCTCCACTTTAAGGAATGAGTTACATCCTGAGGTCTGTTTCATGGCCCGTGTGTAATCTTCCTCGTGATGCTTTATCATATTTCTGGGGCAGCATCTGCATGGCTTTGAAGACTCTGGCAGGAGCTATGAACAGGCTGAATTACATTTATAAGAGGCCTTTAACACCCTGTGGTCTCGGCTTCTTTAATGGGGATTTTCCTCCTCCTCTTTTTCCCTCTGCCTTTCAATCCAGTCCGGTGTGGCTTTCCTGGTGCAGTTTGGATTCCCAACAGAGAAGTCAAGACCAGAGAATCCCTTCCAGATCTTCCCTCCCTCTTTCCCCTTCCTAGCCTCTGCGGCCTGTGCCAAAGCCCCAAGAAGAGAAAATGTTGCTCCTGTCAGGATTTCAGTGGGAAGGAGAGAAGCCCTGTTGGGATTCCAAAAAATCAGCCGGGAAATGGCTGCTATGGAAATTCTCCTCTGACTTTGCCGCTGAGCAACAGACCCATGAGCCTTGTGTGTGTGTGTTGGGGGGAGGGGGGAGGGGTGGAAGGTGTCCGGCACAGAGGCAGGGCGGCCTCACTTGCAGGGGGTGGGCGCGAGGCGCGAGGTAGGGGTGCCGTACCAGTGTGGGTGGGGAGCCCATGCACCTGTCTCCCCACCTCTCCCACCCCCACCCCTTCGTTCTCCCAGCCTTCTGCACCTTAGGGAGGCCTTCACTGTCGCTTAACCTTTAGTTTTCTGCTGGTTCTGCCTGCAGTGGGATCAGGTCTTCTGTGATCTATGTATCTATCCCCACATTTCGGGGACACCAAACTCAGAGGAGGGGTCAGCCTTGAGATCGGGGCGTTGGAGAGGGAGGCAGTTTGTCTCTCATCTGCCTACTCTCCTTTTCGTCGCTCGCCAGGATGGGAAGGGACAGGAGTGCTCTTTTTGGAGGATGGATAAGTCGTGTTTCCTCTCCTTTCAGGAGGAGCGCGGGGTAGAGCCGGGTCTGTGGGCCTGGGTCCCCCCTGCGGTCTCTCCTTCACTTTCCTCCGCTGCTCCGACGAGTCCTTCGGGTTGTCGCGTGGCCACAGGCGTCCCTGGGCCGGGGGAACCCCCAGCTCCCGAGGAAGGAGGCTCAGGCAGAGGGCTCAGAAAGCCCGCCCAGGGCTGCCTGGCATCTGGTCAGGCCCGAGAGCGGGGCTCCTGCTGCTGCATGTGTCGTGCCCGCGCCGTCCCCAGGGCTGTGCGCATATGCCCCCGCGGCATGCGGGCAGTGAGGTGACAGGCAACCAGAAAAGGGGTAGGAAGCAAGGAGGCCAGGAATACCAAATCTGTGACATCTTCCCCCAAGGAAAAGAGGCCGTCTCCCGTGTCTTGATAAATCGTGTTTTATCTCCTTTCAAAAGGAACACACGTGGCAGAGCCGATTTATCTTGATGACATTGTCCAGTCTGCAGAGTATCGTGCCTCCGCCGGGGAGATGGCTCGTGTGCCCGGCCTCGGAGAGGAAGGCAGGAGAGAAAGCTGGAGGGACAATCCAGGAGAGGAAAGTGAATGGGCCAGCGGGTCCCTGGGGGCACCTTCTGCTGTGTGCAAAGCCTTGTGCTGAGTGGAGTGTGGCACCAAGGGGAGGAAGGAGCTGGTCGCACCCGATGTGGGGGGATGTGAGACACAGGGCTGGTGACCGGTACCTCAGGTGACAGGGAGCTCAGGCGAAAGCAGCTGCCTTCAGTGCCCCCCACTCCTGGACCCCTACCCTTCACCTCTATCTCCAAAGGCTGCTCATGGAAACAGCTGGGGGCTTTGTTCCTAGCCTCACAAACCTACTCTGCTGAAGTGCCAGAGATGCAATGCTCTCAGATGGTCCCAAGCAGGGAGCTGGTGATAAATGCTCCTCGCTCGCCCTCAGTCGGGATACCTCTGAGGTATAGTCCATTTTACTATCCCCTGGAGTTCAGCAGCGGACCTGAGCTGTGGCTCCCCGTGGGGATTAGCTGGCTGGGTAACACTTCCTTCCCTTTCCTGCCTTCCTTTCCACAGCCCCCTGGCATCGTCCAGGAACGGCTCCCAAATAAACCACTGATGCCCGTCATCTCTGGGTCTGCTTCTGGGAAACAACCTAAACCACGACAATGCTCAGTACCTCCCTAGGGCCTCGATAGAAGAAGCTCACGTGAATTGATATGCAAGCTACATATTTGTTCGCATGCAATGGCATTTATCTTAATTAGAACTCCTTTGATGCAAGTGATAAACATCCATCTTCAACTAGTTTCAATAAAAAATAATTTTTTTGCTTTATACATATGACAGGTATCAAGTAGACCTTGGGTTCAGAACAGCTGTGTCCTCCAGCTGCTCAAATGATGTCAAAGGAATCTGCCCTTTGTCATCTCTTTACTCTGCTTTTCAACCATTCAGGAAGCATTTATTGAGCATTTGTTCCAGGCACCGCTCCTTTCTCTCAGTAGGTTTCCTTCTCAGGCAGTAATAAAGATGGCCACAAGAAGCTCCAGGTTTTCATCCTTCCAGCTCAGTGACTGTGGGAGAGAAAGGGCTCCAGCAGAAGTCTCAGGGCTGACCCTCCTTGGGGCAGATCGGGTCCCCTGCCCATCTCTGAGCCAATCACTGTGACTCTGGTTGGCTGGGCTGGGTCACATGCCTACCCTTGTTGCCAGGGAGTGTGGTTGGCCCCTTTGAACCACAGGGACTGGGAATGGAGGAGGGAGGCTCTCCAGAGGGAAATCGGACAGACAGGGACAACAGATGCCTATTACAGCTCTAGGACCAGCACTTTGCCACTTGTTGAGCCATGTGGGTTCTAAGATGTGCCACACAGGCCCCTGATGGAAAGAGGCTGTCAAATACCTGTAACATACAGCAGAATGGGGCACATGCCTTAGGAATGGACAAAGTGTGTGGATGTTCTGGAAAGAGGGAGATTACTCCCAGCTTGGCCAATCAAGGAAGGCCTTCTAAAAAGGGGGCATTGACCTAGACATTCATTGATGGCCACGGGCCACAGAAATGTCAGCTGTGTTAGGACTTGAGAGTCAGACCAAGGAGTTCAAATTCTAAATTGAACCGGCTGAAAAGGACTATGCATTGATCTCGTTGTTGAAATGGAATTGGGCTAGCTCAGAAGAGCCTGCTGGGAAGGTTTGAGGGGCTGGCATTTCCTGTAAGCCCCGCCCACACCTGCAGAGGGGTGTACCAGCCCATCTAAACCATGGCCTGAACTGCTAAAGGCTGTGTGTACAGAGAGCCTGGAGAAAAGTCAGGCTGGGGCCGCCGTGCTCCCTTGGCGTTGGCCCGCGCCCGCCCTGGAAATAGCCACCCACCTAAACTAAGAATAGGAATTCCTGCCTGACTGGCAGGAGTGAATGCCGATTTCTCAAGGAGGGAAGGGCCTGAGAACAAAACACAGCGTGTGGGTTGGGCCGTCCTTTGTATTTATTCGTGAGGTCACTTGGGAGCCGCGCCCACGTCAGGCCATCGATCCTGCCATCAGACCCAGACAAGGTGATTTGGCCAAGATGGCAGCCTCGGAGGCTGCTCCCGTGCCCCAGAGGTCCTGGGCCCTCAGCCTCGGGCGCCTCCTGCCCCCTGGGAGAGGTGACTGCTCCTCTCTTGATTTCTTGACAAGGGGCAGAGGTGGTGGCACTTGGTGGCCAGCTAAAACGCTGGGAAGCCGAGGGAGAGGGGAACAGGAGGGCAGGAGGCCCGCGTCCCATGGCAGCTTTCCCCAGAGTCACCCGGCTCACAAGCGTCTCTCTTCCAGGCAAAATCCTCTTCCGGAGAAGCCACATCCGGGATGTAGCTGTGAAGAGGCTGAAGCCCATTGACGAGTACTGCCGGGTAAGGCTGTGTCTGGGCGGGGGGGGGGGGGGGGGGGGGGGGTCCATCTGCCAGAGAGTCTGTGCATCTGTGAAGGAGGGCCGTCTGTCCCAAACCTCCTGCTGTGGTCTAGCAGGTGCAGCCTGACGCCCAGAAAGGCCAGGGCAGTGGGTCTGAGTGTCCCTCAGGGAGGGGTCACTCGTGACTGGGCCACCCTCTGGGGCACAAGGGCCTTGGGATCACAGCTGAGACTTCTTTCGGGACATGCCCATGTTTACAAAACACTATTTTAAATCACTTCCAGCGGCTTGGGAGCTCGGGTCTCCCGCCGACGGGATGTTCTGTATGTGACATTTTGCTGGACACAGGAGAGCTATTGCTTTGAATTACTTTTGGGACCAGAGTTGTTGGAATCAGTTCTGAGTTCAAGAGCACCTGAAACCTCGGAAATACCTATTTGTTTATTCACGGAAGTCCTGATGGTTACGGATGTTCATGTACACATTTTTAGCCATGCAAGTGCTCACACACTCACACACACAGAGAGGCGCGTATGCTACAGGTGCATGAAAACAGCCAATGCCATAGAAGAGAGGGAGAGTGTCAGCAGTGTCATGAGGAAGAGCCCATTTGTCTTTCCAGTTTGACTAGAGCCCGGGACCCCTGCAGTGAAAATGACAGGCTCCTACTTCAGTGGCCTTGGCACCTGGCCTCCGGATGGCTAGGCTACCTGGGTTCAAATCCCTCACTAGCTCTGCGAACTTGGGCAAGCCACTTAACTTCCCAGAGCCTCAGTTTCCACATCTGTGTGATAGGGAGGAGAACAGTAGCCCCACAGAAGGCCGTCATGGGGAGGAAAGGAACTGACTGACACAGGCCAGGCGCCAGCAAGCGTCCTTCACAGAGGAGGTATTCAGTCGACGCCAGCTCTTGATTATTATTACTACAAGGCATAAACAAGTTAATGTTCCCACTGGCTTTCATGGAGATAGGATTTCTTAGTTAAATGAAACCCGCTGTGGAGTCTGACTCAAGAATCTTGAGGAGAGGCAAGTGTGGGATTGTCTTTGGTTGCAAGTGCTGGTATTAGAGTGAGAAGAGCTGGGATCGAATCCCACTGCCACCCCCCCCCACTAGCTCCGTGACTCTGGGCAAGCTAGTCTACCTCTCTGAGCCCCAGGTTCCTTCATCTATAAAACAGGGCAAAGACAGCTCCCTTGCAGGGCTCCTGCAGGGGGCTAGACAGGAGAATGTGTATCATAGTGTTTGTCGCTTCTCAAATGCTCTGTCCCTACGCAGAGTTGTGACTGCAGGGTCTCTTTATGTGCTAATACTTTATGATTCAGAAACATTATGTTGGGCAATAAAATGTTTAAATAAGAAGCGAATTGCTAAATGTATTAACTGGTGCTCCCAAGACAATAGGAAGACGAGCGCTCCCATAGAGTCTGCATTAACCCAAGTTTCAATTTTGTAGCTGTGTCAATTATACTTGATCACATTTTCTGCCTTGACCCAGAAAGAATTCCCCATGATAAATTCCCTTAACCCGAGAAGCTCCTCTTCTTCAGATCAATATTCATTTTTCTCTTTAAAGCGCATTTGCCATTTCCAGTTCAATTGATGGCTGCCGCCTGAGCTCTTCTCTTTATTCCTTCCCAAGAAGCTAAATAAATGGGCACAGCCCGTGGAGGAGGGGGTGAAGGGGGGCAGGCCTCTCCCAGCTGGGGATTTATGGCTCACATCAGCCTCGGAGGCTGGTGGAGCCTGGGGCTTCTGCAGTCGGTGTGTCCTGGGCCATCCGGAGGAGGAAACCGATAATATCTTATCTCCGGGGATCAGGCTTTGAACAGGACTCCTGAATCAGGATGAGATTCAGGGGGGCTCTGGGGCCCCAGTGGTGCTGCTGCTGGTGGCCGGGGGCGCCATTTAAGTGGGGTCTGCAAGAGGCGGGGCCTCCTAACCTGATTAGCCCAGACAAGAGCTGCTCAGAGCCAGGCAACAAGGAGCAGCGTCAGGGGTTCAGCAAGCAGCCAGCCGTCTCCGAGGCCTCTAATTTACTCTGGGAATGGCAGGGGGGCAGGTCAGTGCAGAAGTGACCTTTCATTCTGCTGAACTAGAAAGCTGGGATCTGTGGTCTGATAGTCAGAGACCTTGGAATGACCTTGGAATGGCCATTAGGGATAAGCCAGAAACAGTCCTTATGTCCAATGCCCCCCCGCCGGCATTGCCCATCACAGTTCTGCCTCCTCATGGTCCAATCTATGGCCACTCGGGATCCAAGTTTTGCTCAACGTCACTGGCCCCCTCTGTGAATTCCATGATCAGTGCCATGTACGGTCTACTCCATGGCCAGCCCTTCCTTTGTCCATGTCTGTCCTTGGACACACTGCTGAGAACCTCTGGGGTTTTTATTTCCAATACCCTGCCTGTGCAGCTCTGCTTGGCTGGCCAATGTCTTCCTTGGACTGCTAGACAACATGGACTCCTAGGCCAGGATTTGCTGGGGATTCAAATGCACCCAAGATTGTGAAGCTGGCTCTGCACCCAGAGCGACCAGCTCCTCTGCCAGGACTCAGACGTGGAAAGTCTGACCGTGCGGTAGACCTCCCCAGACTTCGGGCTCCCTGCCCTCGCTGGCCAGCCGGTCCCTCTGCCCAGAGGTGGTTTCACAGCCCAAATCTCAGTGTTAATTTTAAACATATATGAGGCAGATTGGATGGGCGTCACGGAATATTTACCGAGCACCGGCCAGGTGATTGTTTTATGTGGCACTTGAGGGCTGGGTGTCTATCAAGAGGGGTTCCAAAGGCATTTCTTTAACTCCATAAATTAATTTAATGGGCAACATGGTTATGCGGTTAATATTTAATGGTTCTGTGGCCTCAAAAAGTCGAAGACTTTCATCTCACTAACAAGCGTGAGCTATACTTTAGGGGCTCCGACTAACAGTTTTATAAGTGACTCCATTTACCCCGTTCCTGCGTGTGAAATACATGTTTGCAGTGTTTGTCTGTGGGATAAAATAAATATCCCGGGGCAGGGGGTGGGTGGGGGGCAGTGAGAGAGAATGATCAACTAGCTCTTTGCCATGGTAATGACATTTATACAAGTCTCCATTTCCTGGTGGGTGCAACTAGAATTTTTTTTTTTCCTTCAAAAAGCTGAGATTGCTTCTATTATTCTGCTGTCCAAGATAGACTTGCTTTCAGGATCAATGGCTTTCTTTGTGGGAGGGATGAGGGGTTGGTTGTCGTCAGACTGGGGGAGGGGGGGTCAGCCCTGAAGGACAGCCTTGAAGGACCACCCTCCACATCACCCAGACTCATTCATTTTTATCCGCACTTCCCAGATTCGAAAACTGAGACTATTTTGGGGTGGTGGTTCTTAGTCCCAGGCATCTCCCTCCCACCATGCATGGCCCATCATTGGCTCTCACCTTAATAGAGAGAAAGGTTCATGTCCCAACCGAAACATACTCCTTGAAGAAGCACCATGGGCTTCCCGTTATACTTAGTCCTAGATGTAGGATTGACTGTTCTTGTGGCCCTCATTCTAAGGGCTGGCCTGGGCCAGGAGTGTTGCTGATGGGGAGACTGAGGCAGAGAGCAAAGATTGATCTGTTCATGCCTTCCAAGTGGGCTGGTACTCTGGGGAAACCCAACTGGTAGAATCTCTCCATCTCTGTTAGCCCACATAGACCCAGGGAAAGGATTTCCAGTCTGGGATAAAGCTGATTGTGTCCCTTTTCTCCTTAAAGACCCTCAGGGGAGCCCCCATTGCCCACAAGAAGCTGTGAGGGGCTTGGCTGGGCCCTCTGTGGGCTCGTTCCAAGTGTTGCTCAGGCCTCGGCACCTGCCTCTCCTCCCCGCCCTGTAGTCCAGTCCATCAGAAGTACAGCCGTTCCCAACTAGCCAGAGTCCCTTAGGCTGCCACCCCTTTGCCCCTGCTAGTCCTTTTCCTGGGGATGCATTCAGCTCCCACCGTGCCCCTCCTAGAAGCCCCCTGACTCCCCAGGGAAAGCCGAGCACCCCAGAAAACTGTGCATGCCTCCAGGCAGGGCACCTATCCTCCATAGGAGGACAGTTTCTGTCTGTCCACCTTCTCCGGACCAGGAGCTCCTTGAAGGCCACATCTGTTATCTTTGCGTCTTCAATAACAAGCAGGAAGCCTGGCCTCATGTGGGTGTCCAGCCAGTGTCTGCCGACAAGATACAAAGATCACACACAAGCAGAGGACACCTCCCAGGAGGGTGACATGGCCCCAAAACCCTGATGTACAAGGAGCCCTTGTGACAAGGCTTCACTTGCTGCTGCAAAGGAGACGCTATTTCCATTTCAAAAGGATTTGCAGCTCCGTCCTTCAAAAAGAGAACTCCTGTGTTTGAAATACTGATTTACAGAAGTTCCGTGAGCCCAGCTTCCTAGATGGGGATCCAGGAGAAACAGTCCAGGCAGGCCAAAGGCAGCCCAGGGGTGGGCTGGGGGCAGGGGGTGGGCGGCCAGATGGGTGGGACTCCAGCCCCCTGTGCCATGCCCCCACCCCACCCTTAGTCCCTGGGCTTTTACCCAGAAGATTTCCATTGATTAGAAATCAAAATGATGTTCCTAAAAAGAGGAAAATGTTTGATCCCGTGGAAAAAGCAGGATGCCCACGGTTGTTTTGCCAAATGTAAAACTTTTTTGTCCTTGGACAGACCTACCCAGAGTGGTGGGCTTCGTGGAGGGGGGTCCTTTTGAAGAAGGTCTGAGGACAGTCTGCCTGGGGCCCCCTCCCATGCCACCGCACTGGAGAAACCAAACTTGTGCCAGCCACATCTGGGTGGAGGTCTCAGAGGTACACAATGCAGCCACCCTCTCTCTTATCTGAAAATGCGTCTTCTAGAATGATGACACGGTACAAATGGTGGCCCATGTCAGTGGCTCCCAGAAAATGGTGTGGGGCAGGCCAGGAGCTAGACACCTCAGGGCAATTTAGGACTGGGGAAGGGGGGCACTGGAAGGACTGGCTGATGGCAAACCTGGGTGGCTTTTTAGCACCTCTTCACCAGTCTCCCCCAGCCCTAGGCACCCACTGCCTTCGGCTCCTTCCCTTGCCTTGTTTCTCCAGATCTGCTCTTAGCCAGCTCACAGACCCCCTGGACCACGGAATGGCAAGGTCAGAAAGGGACTGAAGTCAGCTCAGCTGACGTGGGACAGGGGCCTGCATACTCTAAGCAGCCCCACGGGGCAATGCCCCCTCCCTAGATGCTGAGGGCTAGGAGGTCATGCTCATTCCAGCTTTTCCCACATAACCTGAATCGAAAGGCTCGGTCGGATTGAATGATAGGTCAGACACTGAATTCACTCATAATGGTGCTGTTTGCAGTGCCAGAGCCGTGGACTATTAGAGCTGGAAGAAGTTTCAGAATGTCTGTAGCCTGGATTCATCCCAGCTGTGTTCCACGGCTGTTAGTAGGAATTGTTGGAGGACCTGCTCTATAATCAGAGACCTGTGGATAGTGCCAGAGGCAGTACAGACCAGTAGATCAGACGGAACACAGGCTCTGGACTCAGATGGCCTCACTGAAAATCTTGCTTACTGGCTGTGTGGCCTTGAGAAATTACTTAACCTCTCTGTGCTTATTTGCTTCTTCTGTAAAACTGGAATTAGTCATAATGTGATGATGAAATGAGCCAATTCCCCAGCATGTCAAGATTATTAATAAATGCTGACCTAAACAAAGCTCTATAGGTTTCTTCCCTGCGGGACTTCTCAGAGCCTTTGCTATACTAATGAACATGGTGATCTCCATGACCGAGGTGGGCATGTACAAGGCATCATTTCACATGTGCCCACAGAACTCATTTTACCTTCTCATACAGGTGTTCCATGAGATAGTGTGAGATTCCAGAGCTAGTCTGCTTTATTCTAGAAGAAATGACAACCAGAGAGGTGAGGTGAGCTCATGTAGCAAGTATATAGGGGCAGGATTGGAACTCGAATCGAGGTCTCCCGACTCCCATGCCAGTGTTCTTTCTAGTATGCCTCACTGCACTCACCTAGAGAACAATGACAACAAGACAATAGTACAGCTAAAATTTACGGAATGTTTGCTCAATGCCAGGCACTGTGCTAGGCTCCTCCTCATTATGGTCTCACTTAGTGTCCTAACAGATAGTGCCATATCAAACCCATTGTACTGAGCTCAGAGAGGGCAAGCAACACGTTCAGAATCACACATCCCATGAATGGTAGAGCCAGGACTCAAACCCGTGTCTGGCTGGCCCTGAGGCCCTGTAATTAACCACCCCACAGCAGAAATCCTGAATGTCCAATGCCAGAGTTTTAGGCCTGGGTGGTGTCCTTGGAGATACCCATGTATGGCCCCCACCTGCTTCTCTCAGAACGGCTGGATTGGGGGGTTCCCCAGCTCTGGCGGTCGTCACCGGCCCAGGCCCCGGGGACTGACTGCTCAGCATCTAGCCCTCCTGCCAAATGATTGTGGCCAGAGCTGGGCTTGGCGGCGGCGTGGATGGGAGCTGCCCTGAGCTGAGAGCCTCTCGTCAGCCTGAAGTCAGGATGAGCCCTCAATGTGGCTCCCTCCGGGGCTCTCTGTTAAATAAAGATGCCACGGTGGTTCGACCAAAAGGACTCTTTGTCTGAGGCCCTCACGGCCCACACGTCCTCTGCCCCCGGAATGCCGGTCTCTGTCGGCATGAAGAGCCCCTGTGTTCGCTGCTGGGGCTGTGCGAGCCCTTGGCCGGCCAGGGCCAGCGCCACGGGTGGGTGGCAGTGTGCTCAGCCGGGAGGGTGCTAGCGCTCTGGGCTGGCTGGAAACCTGCCCTGGCCCCCTTCCCTCTTCCTTGCAGGGAGGTCACCCTGGCAGTGAGTCTGCATGCAGCCCGCGTCCCTGGTCATGGTCTCCCTCCTGCGTCCTGCCCACCCAGCGCAGCCCAGCCCAGCCCAGCCCAGCCCTTAGGTTCTGCCTTGTGCATACAGGCCTGATTTTCCCTCTGTCCCTGTCTGTCATCTCTCTCTCTGTATATCTGTCTCTCCATCTGTTGTCTCTACCTTTCTCTGTCTCTTTGTCTCTCTCTCTCTCTGTCTTCTTCTTTCTCTCTCTTTCCTCAGTCTTTCTTTTCCTTTTCCCTCTACCCTTTCTGGGGGAGAAAACAGCACCTACCATGTAGGTTAAGTGAAAACCTGGACGCTTTGGGGTCAGTTTGCACCCATTCTACCTTCTGAGCCCAGGGTTTCATTTTGCACATTAGCACAATAGCCTCAGTGTCCCCGTCATAAACAAAGGCAAGGATGTCTGCCTCCAGGACAAAATGTCTACCTCCAGTGGCACATCAACACACGTACTCTGGCAAGGGCAGAGGCTGCGTCTGATTCATCCCTGGGACCCCCGGCAGAGCCCCATGTCAGACGCACACACTGAAAAGCCCTCACTGTTTGTTGGATGAGTGGGGTCAAGGGGCCCAGGATGGTGCCTGAAACACAGTAGTTGCCCATTAAATGTTCATTTCCCTTCTTTTCTGTTTCTTGGCTGTTCGTGGGGATGGAATGTGTTAGAGACCCTTGGAAAGCCATGGGCTCTAGAAAGAACAGCTGTGAGTTGCATAGTGTTGTCTTACCTGCTACAGTCGGGTCTTGTCTCATCTTGCCCAGGTGCGGGTATGACATCAAAAAGGACCATCGTGGTGGGGTGCCTGGTGCTCAGTGCCACACCTGCATGGTTACCTGACCAGCTCAGAGAAGAATTGAACAATTGCTTCCCTGTTCCTTAACACTAGACTTCTCTCCTTGCAGTCAAAGACCACATGTGCTTTTTTTTTTTTTTTGCCCCATTATCATGTCCCACTACTATTGGGTATTAGGCTTTGGCACAGCAAAACCCTTCTTCATTCATTCATTTGAGCAAATACTTTTTGCCTGCCTGCTCTGTGCCAGGCACTCTTCTAGGATCTGGGGACACACAGTCAACAGAACAGACTCCCGATTGCATGGAGCTTACCTTCCAGCAAGTTCTTTTCCCACCTTTGCCAGGGCCTGTGGGCAGGCCACGTGGCCTCTCTGAGCTTCCACCTCCTCATCAGTAACATAAGGTTGAGATCTGCCCTCAAGAGGATCATCATGAGGTTCCCAGTGACTCCACACATGGAGGCCCCAGCACGTTCCTCGGTACAGGGGAGCTGCCAGATCGGGTCACGGCACCTGAAGCAACCCCGGTGCAGGGGGCCCGGGAGGCACAGGCACGTGACAGGCTCCTGTTCAGCTGACCACTTACCTGGAGCCTCCTAATGAGCAGTCCTTTGCAATTCCCATAGTCCCAAGTTTCCCTCTCCCTTCTTTTGGCCCTATCCCAGAGTTCCCTTGGCCCGGGCCCTCAGCCCTGCTTTGACAGCGACCTCTCCTGTCTGTTCATACTAAAGAATCATTCCAATATCTTCTCTGCATACGGAATGGAGTGGCCAGGAGCAGGGCTTCACCTGGTCTCATGACAGCACCCCCACCCTGCCTCCATGTTGGGCAGGTCAGGGGTCCCAGGTGCCCCAAGCTCTGAGGGGTGGAGTATGCGCTGGTGCACAGCAGGGGCTCTGACCACCTCTGGCTGTCACGGCTCACTTTGCAGCAGCAGATGCTCAGGCCTCCCTGGAGGACAAGCTCACAGCCGGCTCATGCTCCCACCTGGACAGTTATCCCCACCCGGTGACCATCTTCTCCTCTCAGTGTCAAAGTGTCTTTCCTAAACCCCCCTCTCTGCTAATCGTCCTAGGTCCCGTCGGATTCCGTCACAGCCCCCTGTTGTCCTTGCTAGAATTATCTGCTTGTCATTAAATAATTAATTGTGCAGTCATTATTTAGGGACAGTGACTATCTGGCGATGCTGGAGTGTGGCTAGTGGGAGACGAGGCTGGTAGAATAAGATCTTGGGTTGTCAGTCTAAGGATCTCGGGCTTCCTCTGTGGCCAGGAAAGAATTCTTTCAGGGTTCGCCCAGAAAGACTAGCTCCTGAGGGCCCTGAGACCTAGGGATCAATGGGCATTGTTTTTGGTTTGGTTGGCTGGTTGTGTAGTGGACGAACTGGCTGGTTGAATGGTTGGTTGGCTGGTTGAATTGCTGGCTGGATGGTTGATCGATTGACTGGGGTTGACTGATGAATTATTTTTATTAGTTGACTAGTTGGTTAGTGGATTAATGGGCTGGTTGGCTAGTGGATGGGATGGATGGAGAGCTGTTTTGTTAGCTAGCTGATTAGTTGATTTGTTGATGAGTTGGCTGGTTGGGTGGGCGGCTGGCTGGTTGACTGTGTCGTCCACGGCACCATCCTTGAGCCTCTGCCATCACTGGCAGCCCAGGGTGACCCTGCTTTGGGTTTTAATCAGACCTAATGCCCTTTTCTCCTGTCTTTCCACAGGCACTTGTCCGGCTCCCCCCCCACATTTCACAGTGTGATGAAGTCTTTCGGTTCTTTGAGGCCCGACCGGAGGATGTCAACCCCCCGAAAGAGTAAGTGGTAGCTCAGGTCTCTTCTGTGTGCTTTGAGGTGTGGGCTAAAGCTGAGGGCAGCCTGGAGAGGCTCCGGATGTGGAGACACAAGGAAAAGGAGATTGACCAAAGGGATATGGACCATTATTCCCCAGGCTCTTACTGCCAAAGCTTGCTCCTCATTTCCCTTGACCCAAGGGCTGGCAAGTAAGGGTGTCTCTGCATCTGGGGAGCAGGTTTTCCTGCACACTCATTCTAGCTCACAGGTTACTGTAAGGAGCAGATGAGGTAAAAGAAAGTCTAATGGTCCCTCTGCTCAGATGTCCAGGATTAGCAGTCATTGCTCTTAATTGCTGATGCTACCAAACTCCCAGATGCAATGCAGGCCCGGGGAGGCATGTGCTGTCCAGGCTGAGAACTCACCTGCTGAATAACTCCTGGGCTAGTTCATGATAGACATTAGTAGTCGTGTTTACAGAGGAGGAAACTGAGGCCCAGTGAGGTTAGGTGATTTCCCCAAGTCACACAGCTGGTTGGGTATGTGACAGGCAGGAGGCTTGAACCCAAATCTTTGATTCCCAGTGGCCCCTGTGCTGGCTGATATTTCCGTGTTTGGGGAGAAATGGGGAACCAGGCAGGTGTCTCTTACTCTCTGGAATCAGGATGCTCTGGGTCTGGTGGTCAGGATGATCTACCCAGTCATGCTGGTTTCTCACACACGTGACCAGACTCCATTGTGAGGGCCACCCTGTCTTGCTCAGAACAGTTCCCTCACCTGACTAGGTTCTCAGTGGAGACAAAACTCTGGTTTCCACCAGGAGCTGATGAGCAGAAGAAGGCAGGCAGGGAAGTGTGTTGGCTAGAGGATGGGGGGAGGACTGTCGGGGATGCTACTAGATCACCTCACTCAACGTCTCTTTTCCCCTAAAATCTTAAAGTACCAGGATGGGTGGCAGAGAGGCAGAGGGGGTGGGTACTCCAGAGGGAAGGGAAAGAATTGTACGGAGGAGCGATGTGGGACAGGTGGGAAGAGGCCGGAGGCCATCTGGTGATGGGGAGAAGAAGTCTGAAGACAAGGGTGTGCATTGCGTGGCTCTAGGGGCACCATTCACTGCACTGTGAACAGTGCTCACGGAGGTTGTAAAGTGTACGGTCTGCACACCCATACATGGCAGTCCTGCCGAAAGGGGCCCTTCTCTTTTCACTCGTACTAGAAGACCAAGAGCCTGGAATGGCCTGGGCCCGCTGGGGGAGAGAAACCTACCCAGCCCCAGAGGCTTGCCACCTCTCTGATGGCTGCCATGGGCTTAAGAAATGAGCAAATGCTACAAACCATCAGAAACTCCTCAGTGACTGGCTCACAAGGCAGACTCATTGAAAGCTACAGAGAATAGGATGAGTTCACACCCCAGCTCTGCTGCTTACTGGCCACACAACCTCGAGGCAGATCACTCCCATGGCTTCCCCGAGCTTCATTTCCCTCATCTGTAAAAAAGGGACTAGTGATGAATCCCTGTTCCTGCTACCTCCAGGGATTATCTATGAAAGTCAAAGGACATGAGGGCTGGGCAAGAGCTTCGTAAACAACAAAATGAGATAGAAATGTGTGTTCCACCAGAGGGAGAAGCACGGCTCTCACTGCACCGGCTATGTGTCAGGCTCACGAGAGAGGAGTTAGATTCTTATCCCCACATTACAGATGAGGGAACAGAGGCTCACAGCGGGAGCCTGGACTTGAACCCAGATTCTTCAGGTTCATACAGAGGCCTGTACTCTTTCCACTGCTCCCGCCTGCCTCCCTGGTTTGGGAGGGGTCAGGGGGACTGGGGTCCTGACGCCTCTCTGTGTCGCTGTCCGTGCTGCTGCCTAGCCGTCCTCACTCTCCCAGGGCAGAGGAAGGCTCCTGAGACCCCAGCAGTGGCTGGGGTCCATCCGGCTCTGATGGTCTCTCACAGCCTCCCCTGTCCTTTCCATTCTTCCTTCCATGGGGAGAGAAGAGATGTCCCTCCCCTGGCGATGCTCACTGAAGTCCCATATGATCACGTGCCCACCGGAGGGGGGAGGGATCGTTGCTGTCGGGTGAAGTAGCAGGTCCATCGCCACAAAATCACTGACCCTGCCTTTGATTCGTGCCCCTCAGCGCCGTTCTCTGCCAGTCAGCTACATAAGTTGGTCCTATTTCACCTCTCCACCTACGCACTCACGGCAATAGGTTAGCCTTTTGCCCATTTCGAGAAGGCCCTCAGGAATGATGCTCACCAGGCGTGGGGAGACGGTGGTGCATTGGTGAGGCAGTGGGCATGGCTTTGCAGAGCCAGGCTCTGGGGTCAGGGCCTGCCACTCAAGGCGGTGATCTCTGGCCATTGGCTCAACTTCTCTGTGTTTCTGTTTTCCCATCCCTAACACGTGATAACGCGAGACTCATGGAATGGTCAAGAGGGCTGACAGAGATAACAAGTGGATGAAGACAACCCATAGGAAGTACTCGGCAGTTTTGTTCCTGGAAGGTTGTAGAACAGAATGGAATGTGGCTCGGTGCACACTTCCCCCTGTAGATCACAGCCTGGCTTTTGCAGGGAGGGGTCATAAAGCATTTGCCTCCAAGTCACCATGGCAGTGGGGTTATCGGCCTCTTTCTTGAGGTGCTACCAGCCACCTGGGCTGGTTCACAGCTGGTCTGGCAAGAGACGGCCTGAGACCAGGAAGCCCTCCAGCACGAGACAGACCTCAGGCTCAGGAAGTAGGGTCAGCTGTGGACAGACAGTTCTGAAGGGCTCCTCCTCCCTGGCCCTGCTCAGCCTCCAGGAACTGCCAAGAGAGACGTGTGTTCCAGACCACAGTGTGCTTGCTGTTAAGAGCCCAGACCCGTAGGTGACCCTGGCCTGACAGGCTGACGATTTATCAGCCAAGGGCCCGCACCCCCCTGTCTCGAGCTGCTTGCACCTTCCCCGCCGGGCCGCGGTACACCTCCCCCTCCATCCTGAAACATAAACACAGGATCAAGTAACAGTGTATTTTGACTCAGGGGCGACTGTAGAGCGGCTTATCAAATTATCAAAGCCTGTGGATTTAATTGGAATTTTGCAGATAACCCCCTGGCTCTTTCAAGTGTGCTGCTGCAGGGGCCCTGTGGGCGTGCACAGGGCCTGGGGGGCGGGGGGAGCTGGGTCCCTTTTGCATCTTGCTGGGAAGGCAAGGCTGTGGCAGCGCAGCCTTGGCGGGGGAGGTGGAGCAGGCCCGAGCCCCTTGGCTTTGACCCCAGGCCGCTCGGGGGCTTCTGTGGCGGGAGAGCAGGGTCCTCTTCTGAACTGCCAGGCTGACTCGAGACCACCAGCCCCACACGGAAAGGATGCTCCTTAGAGACGGACACTTCAGGTGAGCTTGACCCAGCGCAGCCACGGTGGCGCCCCGTCCTCGTGCAGCCACCCCAGGAAGGCAGCTCCCGTCCTCCCGCCTCCCGCGACGAACACCGGGGGCTGGGCCAACCCCAAACCCTGGCCCAGATTCGTCCCTTTCCTCCGCCCCCGCCCTCCACTCAGCACATCCTGTGCATCCTGCCTTCGGAGTGTTTCCGGACCCAGGCTGCGTCTCAGCATCACCCCTGTTGCCACCCTGAGCCACCCTATCACCCGTCCTCCCATGGGGTCTGGCCTCCCTGCCTCAGCCCGTGCTCTCTCTGTGGTCCATTTTCAATATAGCGGAAGGAAGGATCATTTAGAAAGATGCGTCAGATTGTGTGGCTCCTCTGCTGAAAATCCCCCATGCCTCCCACGTCCCTCAGAGTCAGGGCCCCCTCAGCCTGGCCCTCCCTTCCCTCCGACGGCCCCCTCTCCCGCTCCCCCGCCGGGCTCCTCTCCTGCCGCCCTGGCCTGCTGGCTGCTGCCCGCTCCTGGCAGCCCTGTTCCTGCCTTGGGGCCTTTGCACTGGTTCTTGCCTCTGCCTGGGCCCCTTGGCGCCCCTCTCCAAGTGAGCCCCTTGGCCTGTTCCCACACCTCCTTCCAGTCTTTCCTCAAACCGCTGCTCAGCAGGGCGGGCCCTGGCCTTCGGCTAAAATCCCCCGGCGCTTGCCCTCCCTTTCCTGGCTTCATCCTTCCTCGGGGAGAACGCATCACCTCCCACACGTGGCCTGTCTACACGTGGCCTGTCCACGCGTGGCGGTGACTGTCGGTCCCTCTCACTGGGACATCGGTTCTGGGGGAGCGGGAGCTTGTACCCATCCTCTTCAGGCTACATCCCTGGCGCCCAGAGCAGGTGCTCAGAAAACATCTGCCAGAGGAAAGACTGATCGTTCAGCCTTCGTTATAGCCTTACACGGGAGACAGCCCGTGACGGGGCTCCGCAGAGGAGATCAAGGCCCAGAGAGCCGGCGTAGCTTACCTCGTCAGCCAGCTGGCAGGCGGCACGGCCCCGGCCCAAACCCGGCAGGCTGGCTCCCGGCTGCCGCGCCTAACGTGGCCCTAACCCCGCGCTCCGCTCCTGCTTCCTAAGTCGGCCCCCTCCTCGCAGCGCCCCCTGCTGGTCCCCACCCGGCCAGGGCACATGGAGACCAGCCTTGGCCCCTTGGACAATTGATTTCTTTTTGAGGACGATGTGTTCTGGGGAAGCCCAGTGGTTGAATAGGAACACCCGCAGGTGTGTTTGTGTGTGTTTGTGTCTGTGTGTGTACGTGCATATGTATGCATGTGTGAGTGTCTTGATGGAGGGGCAGAAAGGAAAAGGAAAATGTTAGCTTTTTTGGTTACTTCCTCTGTACTCTGTGTATTATCTCATTTAAATCTCAGGCCGCCCCTGAGGTCGGTACTATTATCCCTATTTAGCGGATGGGGAAACAGAGGCTATAGCGGTACATGGCTTGCCCCAGGCCACACAGCTGAGAAGCCGGAGAGGCAGACCTTGAACAGGCCCGCTTGCCTGGGAATGGGGGGCACTGTCCTGTTGGCCACCCCCACCACACACACACACACACACACACACACACACACACACACACACCTTGGGAGGGAACTGAGCATCTCTCCCTC